CTTCAGAACTCCATTGATCTACTTGTGGAATAACGGATGGTGGTGGAACTAAGATGGAAGGGCATCGGTCATTCAGAAATGCCCCAAAATAGCTTGTTGATTGGTTCATACCCATCCTCACATTCATAATATGCATAATCAGGAGAGCAGAGGACACTCGTTTGAGGACCACCAGGTGCACATTTTAGACAGAGAAGATGGATGGTCTGAAAGAGGTGCCAAGGAAGCCATCTACACCCGGGTCGAGAAGCCGTCATTGAACAGAGGAGGGGGTCTACGCCACCACTTATCCCCCACTTACAATGCTGTCCTTTCATCACTTCCCAGAAAACTCAACAAACGTAACCTATTGGCCTCAGGTGAAGATACCAACGATGGTCGTTCAGTCTTGACCACTGGTAGTCCTAACGACTGTAACGACGTTACAGCAACCAGGAACACTAACGAACCAGTAGTATCGATGACCCTGGCAAACGACCCCACTGAGGTTAAATAGCTGAGTTTCCCTGCCAGTCAGTCAGAACTGAAGAAGTCCTTTGGATGAGGGACGAAATGTCTTCCAGTATCTTCAACCAAATCCAGTTGCCCTTGACTTTAACCTTCGTTGGATAACTATGACCTGGATGACTGAGAATCTTCATAGACAGAGCAGAGATTGTTTCTTAAGTTCAGTTATTTCCATAAAAAGAAGGACTGCCTCCCAGGAAAGGTGTTCCAGGAAAGGTATAATTAAAGGTGTAGCCATGTCGAAAAGGCTAAAAGTTGATGGTGCAGGAGGTTGCAGGTGGAGTGAGGTTGTTCACCTAGCTAGCAAAGGTTGTAGCTGGAGAGTTGGACCGCTACAGATTGATAGAAGAGGCTTCAGGCAGGGGCTGGAGGTGGCTGTAACTGGAGGTGTGACCTGCATCTCTCTACACTCCATGATGAACACGCCCATCCCATAGGCCACATACAGGAAATATATTGTAATTTATTAACAAACAGTAGATGCACATGTGTATAATAGGATAAATAATGCAGGAGATGGTAATTGTTACGGTAATGATGCACACTACTGGACCGTATTGGCTTAATTAATCCATTAATTAAAAACAAAACAAAAATATGCATAAAGGAATTACAGTGCACCGTACATTAACACACCTTTAACCAAGTCATACAATTCTGTACATGTGCTACAGTTATTTGTGGGTTTGTAGCTCAGTGTGTTGAATATGTTATGATTCTGGTTACTTTTACTATTAAAAAGTTGCTGAGATTATACTGTGAAAATTGTGAGCATATTGATTGCACTATATTTTATATTTGTAAATGCTTTGTGCTAACTCCAACAGAGGTGGTTCAGTTTCTGTTGGGTATACCAGGGCATGCATTTGGGTAAAAGTGTCCACCAAATGGTGATCATTATGTCATACTCTGCATCTACTGTATGTGTTATGTATTATATTATGTATGGATTAAACTCTGCCTTGTCTTCTCCGCCAACTTCCTGTCCAAACAAGGTCTGGCAAGGTCTCAATGAAGGACTCCTACACAGTCTGCCCGCCTACCATGGTAGATATTACATAACTAACTATACAACTTTATAACATATTTCTGCATTTGCACTGAAATTCTATCTTAATATATAATATATAATAAAGAAAATATTATTGTTGGACTTCATTTAAGGACCTTTGGACTTAGATGTCCAAATAAGTTGTGAGTTCCTAATGTTTACATTAGTAGTCACTCCTTAGATTGGTACACTGTCCTCATTAAATGTTACGTAACATAATGGGAAGAGCCACAGTTACTGAGAAGAGATTTGTCCTTCTTTGCCGGCACTTAACGACAAGTGTATATTGTTTGCTGATGAAATCTGCAAGAAGGGTCACTGTGAGAACATGCTGCTCTGCTTGTTCTGCTACAAGTGCACTATCAACAAGGCTTCTACTATAACAACTCAGAACAAAGGGAATAAATGTTGTTTTAGAAAGGAAAAGTAGTAGTTGGCAGTCAAAGTACAGAGGACAGTCGGGTCCTTTTGCTCACCTGTGTTTCTGGGTGGACAGGTGTTACACTTGAACCACGAGAGGCTGAGTGTGATGGGGACATAGACTGTATAATGGATGTAGTGTCCGTGACGTCACCCATTGGTTTCTGAAGAGCCTTTTTGAAGCTCTTTTTCGGCCGAGCTTACAGCTGTTCATTTGTTATGATGTGTTGAGTGTTTATTGGTTAAGACTACACTTCATCACTTCAAGCTACACTTTTTTATTTCATTTTTTCTAAAAATTAGGCACTTTATTTTAGTTTACTTAAATTTAGAATTTATTATTAGACTAGTTATTATTTATTATCCCTCCAGTTTGATGTGAAAACTGACTAAAAACATATGTTGATACAACTATACGTTATGGTACTGAATGATAACACAAGTTAGTCGTTTTGATGTTCTGGACCTTTGCATCAGGAAATTAGAAACTGGACCTCTTTGAATTCTAATTGAATACCCCTGATCTAGATATTTAATTAATTTATTACAGCCACTAAATGCAGAAAGTTAAGTTGGTCAGAATATAGCAAATATAATACATATCATGAAATAATTTAGTTTATGCCTTGGTGCCTAGACCTGCTAACAAATGCATGTTGTTAGAAGAAAACAAAACACCCCGCATTTCGTTAGATCTGTAGACCACTACTGATCTGAGAATCAGCTGCCTTGCCAATCTCCTGCCTCTCTTTTTCCTAAAATATCTTCAGTATCCATCTGGTCAATGAATTGAAGGATATGCCATTTCAATAGAGATGAATTCAGAGATGAAAACTGCTGGAATTCTGCTTGAGGAGATTACATAAATATGCCGGGAGTTTACCCAACATGGCCTTGTATAGAAAAATATGCAAATGAAGTTGTCTACGTAGACTTAGTTATGGCCAGCCTACCAGTTCATACAGTGTACAATGATGAGTACGGGAATCAGAGTTAAAAAGCGCAAAGCACTATAGTACACAGAGTCTAAAAGGTGGAGAGTACTAGAAGCAGCATGCATGTAGACAACATCACCATAGTCCAAAACATTTAAAAAGGTAGCCTGCACAAGTTTTTTTCTGGCTATCATGTTAAAACAAGCCTTATTTCTAAAGTAAAACCCCCTTAGTTTCAGCTTTTTTACAAGATTTTCAACATGAACTTTGAAAGAAAGTTTGTTGTCCAGCCAAAAACCCAAATACTTATATGATGAAACATTTTCAATTAAGTCCCCATTTAGTGTGTTAATAGTTATATTATCTGGGGATTGGAAACGAGCCCTTGAAAACGTCATAAATTTGGTTTTCTTAGTATTTAGCACTAACTTGAGGCCATGTAGTAAGACTTGAAGCTGTTGAAAGGCTAACTGAAGGTCATTTATGGCTTGGTTCAGTGAAGGGGCAACTGAATATATCACAGTATCATCCGCATAAAGGTGCAGTTTAGCAATAGAGGCTAAAATCGAACCTTGAGGAACACCCTTGGAAATCTCTAAAAAGTCTGATTTAAGACCATCTATAGAAACACATTGCGTTCGTTCTGTAAGACCAACCAATTGATTGCTGTGTTTATTGTAATATTGTTTTGAAATAGGCTAGTAGAGAGAGGTAATATTAATGGTGTTCACACTAGAGTTTTTCACAGCCAACTAAAATATCCCCTCTCCTTTACCTCAGCAACTTACAGTTTCACTTTGTATCACTCACTACCCTGAATCAATCTTCCTTCACTATGTCTGTGTGTCGCTGTCTGTGTGTGGGTAGTAAGGCCTGGATCAGACAGAAAGCGCTTTGCAGGTTTGAAAACGTGAGGCACACAGCAATGCCTTTTTTGGTTGAATTTAGAAGAGAGCAATGCGCTGCGTCAGTCTAATCAAAGATTAGCCTATAGCACCAGCGATCTGTAATCTTTGGTTTGCTCCTAAGTAATAACTGTTATGTTAGCAGAAACTTGATCAGAGCTCACAGGTCTGTGTCTTTTGTTGCTAAAATATCTGCTTTAATAAAATAGACAAATGGAGAGCGCTTGCTCTGGCATTATTTGAGGGTGAGAGGTGTTCAGTCACGCAGGAGACAGGGAAACGGAGATCCGTGTGGGTAGATGAGACCGTCACAAAAGGGAGACACTGCTGGTCCAGCAGCTTCGTCTTAATGATGGTCGGTTTAAGTCTCTAGGATGAGTCGGGGACGGTTTGTTCCATTCATTTGATTGGATTTGAATTTTTTTCAACTTTGTGCTCTTAGAGCACTACATCAAAAATGCAAGGCAGAGCAGGCGCCCAAAACGCGAGGAACCCAGGGAGCATTAGCAGAATGCTCTCAGTAGAAAACAATTTTGAAAAGGCGCCTATCACTGCAAAAAACGCATTCTGTCTGATCGGGGCCTAAGGGCCTTTGTCCACCAAAGCATATTTTTCCTGAGGCCAGCATCTTTTGTCAATTGATTGCAATGGGACGGGACAAACACTACACCGAGCCATCTCAGGTCTCAAATAAAACAATGTGCCTCCTCGCTGAGTTATTTCCTTGCCAGCCTGTCCCTTCGCTCTACATGTTCCTAGTCCTTCCATTATTGTTACTAGTCCTATTGTTATTGTAATCATTAACATTACGATTATTATCATAAACATTACTGTATATATGTCTGTACCATTTTTCATTTAGGCTATAGCAACATCACCTTTACTGTCTGTACCTCTGTGTGTATATTGTGTAGGCTGCCTCCCTCCCCTCTCTCTCCTTCCATCACTCTCTCCTTCTGTTTCTCTCTTGCCTCTCTCTCTCGCCCTTTATCTCTCTCTCTTTCTCTCTCTCTCTCCTTCACCCCAACCGGTCGAGGCAGATGGCAAACCCACCCTGAGCCATGGTTCTGCTCGAGGTTTCTGCCTCTTAAAAGGAAGTTTTTCCTTGCCTCTGTCGCCTAGTGCTTGCTCTTGGTGGGAACTGTTGGATTTCTGTAAATAACATCACAGAGTACGGTCTAGACCTGCTCTTTTATGAAAAGTGCTGTGAGATAACTGTTGTTGTGATTTGGCGCTATATAAATAAAACTTGAATTGAATGTTTCAGCCTTCTCTTCATGCAGAGCAAGGGCCAGAGCAAGTAGACCTAGGTCTACCATACTTTCTGTTGACTTATAAATTCAGTAAAATATAGCCTACTTGCAGCACATCACCTCCAAGCATATTATGTATCATAGCAACCAAAGCGTCTCAGCTGAAAAAAATGCTGCGCCTCCAAAGCGCACCCTAGTGCTCCCAGCCAGGCGTTTTCAGAAGAGCAGGTGGCATTTTCAGCTGGTAAAAAACACTTGGGTGGACAGGGGCCCTAACATCGCTTGGCAGCTTGACAGAGCAGCGATGAATCGCAGCCTCCCTCAGCATCCTAGTGCCCAACCCCATTTGGGATTTAAATTGTGAAGCAGAGAAAACAAGCAGAATGACTATTTTAAGCCAATACCCATGACCCGTGAGAGGATAATGAAAAATGGGAGTCTCCGGAGAAAATTGAGAGGGTTACCAAGTATAAGCTAACCGGAGCTAGCCTCCATGACTCCTTGTTTACTTTGTACGATAGCGTGCTGCTGCGTAATGTCGTGTTCTTCTGCGCATGAAGGTCATTTTCAGGCCGTGGACAGTTCACACTGAAGTCTGATATGGGCCACATTTAAACGATAATGGCAAACAAAATAATCGGATTTGAGCATTAATTGGTATGTGTATGCATGACTTTAGTTTGTTTTCCTCTTTTTGTGCAATTGCGGGATGCTTGCTGTGTTTTAGTTTTTTGTGTTGTCTGTCTGTGTTCTCCCTCCCTTTCCCTGCACAGTCAGCGAGAGGAGGCGTGTCCTCGGATCTGGTTTACTCACTCACCTGCTCCCCATCCCTGAACACTCACCTGCTCTTCATCAAGCAATCTCCTCAGCCTTCTTATACTGCCTCCAGCAATCCAGTCGCCGCTGGATTGTTGTGTCATTTGTGTATGCACTTGCACCAGCCAAACTTCAAGTTAACTTGCTTAGTTGAGTTAGTCTGTCGTTCTGATCCTTGTTAATCTTGTTTCTCTCTGTCTCTAGTCCTCTACACCAGCCATCGGTTCTGTGAACCCTGGACCCAACCCTTGCCACTCTGCCTGCCCGTCAGCACCCACCTCTCGGACCTCAGCTCAAGTTCCCTGCCTGCCTGCCACCCTCTCTAACCCTGCTTACCATCCACCCATTGTTCCCTGTAATAAACATCCTGAACTGCTCTCTGTCTCCGGTCTGCTTCTGGGTTCTCTTTAAGAAATCCTGACACCAGGTTTCACACATAGGCCTACATAACAATGAGAACAACAGGCTGCATTTAAAATATTTAACCTAATTAACTAACATAATACAATATATTACACTGGTGAATTTAAAGGTTTACAATTGCAAAAGGAAAATAAAAAGTATACAACTTCTTTTGAGTGTTTTTTTTTTTTGTCACAGAAGGGCTAACAGTAGATTGTGGAATCTGAGAGAGTTTTTAACAGAAATAGTGTAATTTAAAGAGCAACTAGAAGGCAGATGAAGTTCTGCACATCCTATGGCTTCAAACTCAGTAATTGCCATCCTAGTTGTAGCAATGCTACTGGGTGACAAGTAAGAACCGTTTTGGTTAGTATAAATAAATGTTTCAAAACTGAAATATAAATTAAAAAATAATAACTAAAATATATAATTGCTATCCTAATACATAGGTTATCACACCAGCTCATGTAATCTTAAGCTAAAGCTACAGGTCACCATTATGGTCTTACAAATGTTCCATTTTCCCTAGCAGCCAGAGTTAGTTTTGCATTTTTTATTACTTGTTATGTTTATTTCATTCAACTAAAATGTTTTTTCACACCTAGTTTTAGTTTTAAGTTTAATTTTTAACACTTCACTCCTGCTTCCAAAAAAGGAATAGACCTCATGATGTCCGTTTTTGGTTTAAAGCGAAAAACGAAGTACACAATGGCCCACTTTTATTTTTAATGTTTCACCAGTTACTTTCGCTTGGCTTTTGATAGTTTGTTTTTTGTTTGAACCAGAAAACGAACAAATGGGAAAACATGTTTTTTCGTTTCATTCCAAAAACGAAGAAAAGGAAAAACAGAGCCATATTTCCATTTTTGGTTTCTGAATCCAAACACAAAAAAACTCAATCTGTATCATATTCAGTTCAATTAAATTTTATTGATATAGCGCCAAAATCACAACAACAGTTATCTCAGAGCGCTTTTCATCAAAGAGCAGATCTAGACTGTACTCTGTGATGATATTTACAGAAACCCAGCAGTTCCCACAAAGAGCAAGCACTAGGCGACGGAGGCAAGGAAAAGCTTCCTTTTAAGAGGCAGAAACCTCTCCTCGCCAGGGCCCTCTTCAGGCTCTCTCACAGTGGGGGCATTCAGGAGTCCCCGGGGCACATGTTGTCGGGTGGGTTTTGGCCCATTTTCTTGGGGGTGGTTGACTGGGGGTGCTGGGCCCCCGTCCGGGGACGGGACCAGCCTCGGGTTCACGAGGTTCGGGGGTTGCTGGCTCTGCCTGCACTCTGGGGGGGAATGCCTCTGGCTGGGCTGGGGGACTGTCGGCCTGGTTCTCCCGCGCTATAGCTCCCTGGTGGCGGGGAGCTTCCCAGCACGGCTTTCTGCTGTTTTCTGCCTCGGGACGGGTCGCAGCTTTCCCCGGGACATGCGGTATGGGGTCCTTTGTGCTTTGGGGGGGTTGCGGGGTGCCCAGGCTACTAGGGGTGGGGGTCTCTGGGCGCTGCGCGGGTTGATCCGGTTGCGATTTGGAGGGCTGCGATGGGATTGTAGGGCGATTGTCGATGCATCTTGATGCATTGTGGGTTTTTTTTGTTTTGTTTGTTTTTTTCTCCTTCCCTGTGCAGGGTCTCTGGATGGCTGCTGGGCATTTAGTTTGTGCATTGGAGTCCAGGGGAGGCATTTCCTCGTTGGCTTGGAGGGACCGGTTTGCGTCCCTGGTTTGCTTCATTGGCCTCGGATCCATGCTTCCCCATTTCTCTGTTGGACAGTTGTCAGACTCCTCTGGAGACTGAAGTATAAAGTTAGTTTTCAGGATGTGGAATGTGGGTGCGGGGCAGGGTTGTGTTCCGGTTTATTCTGGGCTTATGCCTGGAGTTCTCGGCCCTTGACGGGTGGGTGGGTTGGTGGTGGCATGCAGCTGAGCTATTTGATTTTGCCTCGTTGCTGGTTTGGCAGGCGTTGCACGGCAGCCTGGGGGCGTGCTGTGCATGGGGGATGTCAGCTGGCGTGGACGGCCTTAATTTTTCCAGCAGTTGGGGGGAGGGCGGACTTTTATTGGCGGGTGCACGGTAGCCTGCACGGCGCGTTTGCTGCCAGGCTGGGACTTGCTGCTGGTGTTTCTCTCCGCTGGCAGAAACCTTGAGCAGAACCATGGCTCAGGGTGGGTGGCAATCTGCCTCGACTGGTTGGGAGGGAGAGAGAGAGAGGGCAAGAGAGGAACAGAGAGAAAGAGAAAGAGTGATGGAAGGAGAGAGAGGGGAGGGAGGCAGCCTACACAATATACACACAGATGTACAGACAGTAAAGGTAATGTTGCTATAGACTGAATGAAAAATGGTACAGATATTTATAGTAGTTCTAATAATCATATTGTTGATGATTATAATAACAATAGGACTAGTAGTTGTAACAATAATTGTAGCAGAGGGTGACGAACAGGAACACAGGGGCAGCAGGTGACCCACAACCACAGATCCAGACTCCACAGCTCCAGAGCCAGAAACACCTGCAGGAAGTGATAGGAGGAGAGAGGAGAGGGACGAGAAAGCACAAGACTACGGGAAAGAGAAGAAGTCGAGTTAGTAACATGCATTAATGGGATGAGGTTGCATATAGAGGGAGAGAAAGTAGAGGAGAGAGAAGCTCAGTGCATCATGGGAAATCCCCCGACAGTCTAGGCCTATAGCAACATAACTAAGGGATGGTTCAGGACTCACCTGAGCCAGCCCTAACTATAAGCTTTATCACAGAGGAAAGTCTTAAGCCTACTTTTAAATGTGGAGATGTTATTTGCCTCCCGAACCCAAACTGGAACCTGGTGATATTAACGAATCATTCACGGATTAAAAGGTTCGGGTAATTTTCATTCAGCCTCTCTACACTGTTTCAACCTGACTTTATTTTCTTTGTGAGATGGAAGAATTTAGAAAGTTGCACGGCACTGCGGAGAGCCTAAACCTGCAGTAGCACATGGATTAGGCTATGCGTAAAATCAGGAGCTCAGACTTCATCCAGCCAGAGGTAACGACCACTGACCGTCCAGTTTGTTTGTTTGACTAAATGGTAATGAGGAGGACCCAACGAAGGTTAAAATGAAGGGCAACCAAGTCCAGTTGCCCTTCATTTTAACCTTCGTTGGATAACTATGACCTGGATGACTGAGAATCTTCATAGACATCTAATGAGGAGGACATTACTATTTTTTTCACTAATACAATGAGATGTGTTCAGAACATTGTAAGGGAATGTGACAGTATGGGACATGACAGCATGATTTTGGAAAGACACTTCTGTGAGCTTAATGGATACATGGACAGTTTCTTTCTTCCTGTCAAATAGCGAGCGGTTAGAAGGGAGTGACAGTCATGGAAGTTTAGGTACCCTGGAAGCACTGTATACATGGTTTTTGTTCCATCATAAATTTATATGAAAACACAAGATCAGTGGAAATGAGACGAAGGGATATGTTTACTTCAAGTGTACTACCAACAATCACAACTGGTCATCCTGGTCGGCCTCAATACAATATACTATATGAACAAATTACCTACTGTTTGTCCCTTGGAATGAGTTGGCAAAGAATAGCTGTATGCTTTGGAATCAGCAGGAGGACACAGACTCAGACAGCAACTTCAAATTGGACCACTAACTTATACAGCAATATCTGATGAGACCTTGACTGACATTGTTAGTGGGATTCTGCAAACCACTCCAAATGCAGGAGAAAGGTATGTACTAGGAAGCCTTCGAACACGCAACATCAGAATTCAGCGTTGGCGTGTGAGACGTTGCCTGCAACGCCTTGACCCAACTGGACAGGCCTTCAGTCGCCGACATGCAATTCGAAGAAGAATTTATAATGTTCAAACTCCCAATCAATTATGGTGAGTATTTTGTGATATTACATCAAGTTTGGTTTCTGTAAATACACTCAGTGGTAATAAAGTAATGTATTTCATTACAGTGGTGGAGGTAGTACTGAGATGTTTACCTTAAGTAAAAGTACTTACACCAGTGTAAAAATACTCAAGTTCTGCATTCAAAATGTTACTGAAGTAAAAGTATTAGAATCAATAACAACAGGGCATCAAGTGTATCGGAACTGTTTTGTACTGGTGTACAGAGCTTTGGCCTTCCCTCAAGAGTACGCTGTGACCATGGTATGGACAACACAGGGGTTGCCCGGTATATGCTGGAGAGAAGGGGGTTGAATAGAGGCAGTGTCATTACTGGACGCAGTGTCCACAATCAGAGGATAGAACGGCTGTGGGCAGAGCTAAACAGAGTTGTCTCATTCCACTTCAGTAACCTCTTCACTGTCATGGAAAATGAGGGCATACTGGATTCTACAGACGAACTCCATATGTTTTGTCTACATTACATCTACTTGCCAAGAGTTCAAAGGGCAGCTGCAGAATTCCAAAATCAGTGGAACAACCATGGATTATCTACGATGGGAGGACAAACACCTCTTCAACTGTGGCACAGAGGGGTTCTTAACAGTGCAGAAGCTGGTGCAATTCAGGACATTTTTGCAGGAAATGATACCTTGGAAATCAATGAGGACACCCCTGTACAGTTAGAGACTGAAAACAACATTGTTGTTCCAGTAAATGACTTTATTATAGATCATACCATGAACAGAATTCAAGAAACAATAGACCCACTAATTGATGACAGTAACCATGGCATACAATTATTTTTAGGCCTGGTAAATTTTATTAGCGAACAGTAAGCTTCTTGAGTGCCAGAACCCTGTTGGATGTTTTGTAAAAGATAAATTGTTAATGTCTGAATTTATATAGCGCTTTTATGAAAAGTGCTAAACAGTTCACAATGGCTAACATTTGAAAACTAACATTTTAATTTGTTTTCATATCATTATCCATGGCATTAATTTTCACAAATAACAAACTAAAAAAACTCCCAACTACTCAGCATTAGTCACGTTATTTTATTTAGTTGAACAAAAAGGAATCTGAAGGATAAAGGAAATTTTATGAATTTTATATGAATGCATTGGTTTGAAAAACAAAACAAAAAAAAGTTCTGGCTTATCACTGAAAAAGCCAATTCAATTTTCAAACTGTAATAGTTAGTTAGTTAAATGCAATATTTTTTTAAACAAACACAAACAAACAGTAGCTCATTTGTTAATATAACTGAAACATCCTCAACAGCATTGTTTCCTCCATTATTCTCTACCAAAACCCTGTGTATTACCTACTGCAAAGTCCATAGTCTCCCTAAAATCCTCATACGTGTCAAGCAGTAGCAACTTAAGGCAGTTGATGCAGGTGTTTGCCATAGGCAAATGACGTCTGGAGCTGACAGACTGATCATGCAGGAAATCAATTGATGGTTGAGGGGAGAAGCCAACTGGAGGGATGACACTTGCACCTGTTACCTGTTAGCTTTGATGGTCCCTCTTTCTCTAACACACACAAAAACAAGCAAGCACACACCAAAGAGAACAATGAGAGTTTACAGCAATTATACCAGTAAAAGGTAAAAGTACCATATAGAAAGCTCCAAAAAAAGGAATGAAAGACAAAGAAACAGAAAAAGGAAAGCACCAGATAAAAAGGAGGTAAGGAGAGACTGAGTGAAAAAAAACAGCGTATAAAATGTTCCAAAAGGTATGTAATGGAAAGACAATTCTATACAGGACAAACTGCAAAAAGAAACTTAGAGTAAAGAAGATAGAGGAAGGGAAGATGAGCAAAATATAAAGAGTAAAAAGTAAAGAGTAAAGAGTAAAGTAAGAATAAATTAAAAAAGGGGAAAAAGGAAAGAAAGGAAACAAGAGAAAATACAGGAAGGAACAGAAGTTGACAAATTAGCCAGAAAGTTGAACTAAAGCAAAGGTTAGTGGAAAAACCAAAATCATTTTTATTCATGTTCTGAGAATAATAAATTTTCATTACAATTAGTACTCCAAGTATTTTCTCCTAACCCAGTATTTGTACACAAAAACAAAAGAGACAGTTCCATATCTACAAGCGGCAATATTTACCTTCAACATCCTGCAGGTAATCTCACCAGAAGGGAACAACACGTTCCTCTGCCCTTCTCTTGTTGCTTCCCACAGCAGACAGCCGGATGTGGAAAAGGTGATCCATTAAGTCAGCAGTGAGTGGGGATGGTTCGTGACACATTAATCTAAAACTGTCCGGATGCATGCAGATTGCATCCAGGACACCAAGGGTCTTTAGTCCCTCCCTGAATCTATGAAAATGAGACACATTAAGAGACATATAATGTTTGACCAAACGCAGAATAAAAGCTATTAAATCAAGATTCCAGCAAAACTTACAATGACATCTAGGATGGCAAAATATGTAATATGTTATGTTTGATTTGAGAAACCAAAATAAATCTTTTAAGACTTGCCAAACTTAATTTTAAATCCAGTTAAGTCCAAAAAAGCTAGCAATCAGAAGAACCAGGAGAAAAACTACATTGAAGTTATTGTTGTTTAACATTTTGCGTAATATGCCTCAATGGTGAAAATTGTTATTGAAATGTGTGCAAATAGCTTATTTTACAGCATACTTCACAATAGTAATGTGTTGTTTGGAACCTGGTTTTCTTTGAGTTGACTTTAGAATACACAGTGGCTTTTAATTAAAAATACAGAGTACATGTGCAAATGTTTTGTTGTACTTTAAATAAAATGCTGCTTATTTGGTTTCTGTATTATTACACAAACCTTTCAAATGCCCCGCAGACTCTGTGGGCCACCTGAAACATGAGAATATCTTGAAGCAGCAGGTCTCTGTATTCAATGGATTTCACTGGCCTGAGACACCCAGCATTTGCCAGGTAATCTTGCAGTGGTTCAGTGGCATGTAACAGTTCATCCAAAGACGTGCATTCGGACACCTTAAAACACCACACAATAGAAACAATTAACTTAAGCATAGTTCAATAAGCAAGAATGCAAACAATGTGTAAAAATTCGGCAGGTTTTACTTGATTTACTTGACTTGTTTTTCTGCTAGAAAACACCACCACAAAACTGTTTAGGTATTGATTCTACTGTATGATCATTCTGAGATCTGCATGTTTTGGTGCTTTTAAACTGTATTGCATTATACAGAGGTGTTTTTGTTATTTAGCTTTCCATCATTGAAATGAATGGGGCCGAAAAAATAATAGAAACAACTATCAGACTAACAATACATTTCAGTAACAGCAGGTGAATGAACGCCTCTAAAACAGATCAAAACCTGAACATTAAAAATGTCATGAACATAGGATTCTTTTAGCCTACATAAGTTTTAGTGAGGTGAAACAGGAACCTGAGTGTATATTTAGATCATATTTACCTTTTTAACCTTCTCAGGTAGGTCTGTATCGCCCTGTCTTCCAAGACAGGCTTTATGGAGGAATTGCACCCAACTAGACGAGAAAACAGCATTGGTGCAATGAATCCTGGTGGAGGACCGCCATGGACAAGACTTATATCAATGGCCCGGCCAGCATCAAAGTATTGAATATTATAATATTTTGCATTCTTAGCTTAAAGACAATGTATTTGCCTATACTTTATTTACTTTATTACCAATTCATGTAGAAAACCAGATAATTCTGAGTTCACTGACTTTCTTACCACTGTATCTGAAATGACTGCACTGATTAAATCAATGTCATATTAACCACCTACTTACACATGACTCTCAAAACTGACCATTATAGTCTTGTTATGACCTGGCTCAGGAGGCCACAACAAAAGGGAGACACACCATGGTAAAAGTTTAACTATACGTTTATTTAAACAAAATTAACCAAATTAAGAAGTATTTCAAACTAGGTATGTAGTCTGTGGTTTCAGTAGTATCTGGCAGGATGATGGTTGCATGGATGTATGTGTGAAGGTGTTGTAGCATGCAAACAAGACAAATACCACAACGCAACAGTCCAACCAAAGAAAACCAAACTAAATAGAAAACCAGAGAGAGAGAGATTTTTAACAAACTTTTATTACAAAATCATTTCACAGTATATTTACATTACAATATGCATAAATATTAAGAGCAGCCCCAACTCACAATAAATGTGCAAAAAACAAGTCACCTTCAAATACAGAGCACAATGCCTCATTGCAACACCAAATACCTTCAAAGGTAATGAGATCATCCATATGCTTGTAAAAAGCAAAATCAATCAATATAATCAGAATTTTGCTCGATTTTCTTTTTTCTACTACACACATTTAAAACCCAAAATAAATAACGCTGTCGAAAAAGTTTCATTACACCTCCGAAAAATACTTTCTAAAGACAAAAATAAAGTCAATAATGTGTGTGTGTGTGTGTGTGTGAGTGTGAGAGAGAGAGAGAGAGAGAGCCCACACCCACTCATGACCATCACAGCCTGGTTTAATTCCTCATCATCAGATGAAAGGTCCGAGATGGAAGTCATGATCGAAAGGTAGGCAGCATAATCGTCATTGCTAGTTGATGGAGTCTGGTCCTCTGTGGTAACACTATCTAAGTGAATGACACTGGATGCTTGCTGTGATGCAGAGGGCTGGTTAGCTATGGTGGTGAGATCACGGGTCGCTTGCTGTGCTGCAGAGGGTTGGTTAGCAGTCATGGTATCACGGGTATCTTGCTGTGATGCAGAGGGCTGGTTAGCTCTGGTCCTTCTTGTGAACTTCTTGTGTGATTTGATTTCTCCTGGCCCTCGTAGTTATACGACCACAGGTCTGACTGGCAGTAGAAGTGTTGTGGTTACTAGATGCTGATGTCAACCTCCACACAACTGTCCTCTGAATCTGTGCTGTCAAACTAAAATTCAACAAAAAAAATATGTATTTAAATGTTAGGGTTAAACCCAAAACTGTATCCTCTAATTGAGACAGAAACTGCATCATATTATTTTTAAATAGCTTACCGGAAATGGAAGATTGCTTGATGGCCGAATGTACACCACCTTTGATCTGAATACCTTGTGAATCATAAAGCCACTCAGGTCCTGACCCTCACGCAACTTTGGTGAAACCAGTTTCTTTCCACATGCCATCAAAAGTTCAATACTGAAGAAAACAAAAACAAACAATAAATCAAATTAAATTATATTCAACTCAAAGCAGGGTCTAATTAATCACCAATTTATAATTTATATATTGGTATGACATTTGCCACCTTCCAACTCAAGGGGATGACTGCCTGCGTGATTGATAAATTAATAAGATGGGTCACAGGCACCAAGATACAAGATTTATAATGCTTCAGAAGATTGGTATCAAATCCATTTGTTAGTCCAAATTTATCTGTAATTTCTTTCAGTTTCTTTCTGTCACTTTTGTTGTCCCAATTTACATTTAAGTATCCCATTAGAATAACCTCATTATTAAAGTCACAAAAACTCAGAAGTGCTTTAAGTTGATCATAAAAATCTACTTTTGCTGAAGGCGGACGATAAAGACATAGAACAGTAAATGACATTTCTGCTGAGAGTGACACTTTAACTCCAACACATTCAATTGGTATTTCATTAGGCCACATTATTTGTGTACATTTTAAAGAGTCCTTCATATACAGTAACACCCCTCACCCCTTTCCTTGATGCCTATCCTTTCAAAAGACATTGTAGCCTTGTAATGATACCACTTTCTGAAAGCCCTAAGAAATCTACATTTGAGTTAATGAGAAGATGCTCTAATTGTTCCCTCTTAGGGGCCATACTGCGTATGTTCAGATGGCCACCTAAGAGCTCTTTGTTTTCACACTGTGGATCCCATATAGTCCTGGCTTGATTAAGAGTCTGGAATAACTTACACGATCGATGTTTTCCTTTCTGTACACATGGGTATGATGGGTTGTGGTGACATACTAAGCTCAGTTGTTATAGGGTCCTGCAGTGGTGGTGTTAGCCCAGAGAGCTGCTGTAGCTCCGTTAGCCTTGGTGGTATTAGTCCAGGGAGCTGCTGCAACCCAGGTAGCAGAGGTGGTATTAACCCAGGGAGCTGATGTAGCCCAGGTAGCAGAGGTGGTATTAACCCAGGGAGCTGATGTAGCCCAGGTAGCAGTGGTGGTATTAGCCCAGAGAGTTGCTGTAGCCCAGGTAGCAGAGGTGGCGTTAGCCCAGGGAACAGCTGTAGCTGTAACACAGGACTTAAAACAGGTCCAGGATTTTGCTCAACATCACCAGCCAGAAGTATTATCATCAAAAGATTCACAACCCCAGGGAATGATCTAGATGCTGTTTGATCTTGGCCTAGCATGTCCACAATCCAGGATTCTTGCATACAGAAGATGTTGGCTCCTCTTTGCTTTGAGTTAAGTTATCCATTTTCCTTGGACATGTTAAACTCAAGAGGAGGTAGAAGGAAAGGAGAAGACCAGACAAGCATGGCAAAATCCAAGGGTTTTTGATATATTTTTGTGGCAGACACACAGGACCTGCAAACACTGTGGCTGCACCCTGGCGGCCATCTTGCCAGAGACAGACTGCTACCAAAGAAAGCTAATCACTGAGTTTGCAGGGTGTGCAGAACTTCACCTGCCTTCCAGCTTCTTTCTATGGCACTATAGCTGCTAAAAACTCTCAGCTTCCACCATATCCTGTTATGTGATATGTGTCAAAACAAAACTCTTCCATAACAAATCTGTGGAGTTGTAAACTTTTTATTTTCCTTTGCTATCTTCGCCAGTGTAAAATACTTATGTTTGTTAAGTAGAGTAAATATTTTTAATGCAGCCTGTAGTTCTCATAAGTTATGTAGGCATACTTATGTGTGAAACCTGGTGAGCATTAATGAGAGTCAAAAATGATCTCTAGCTCTTGGGCTTTCAGATCGTTTAATGCTTTTTTGGGTTTAATTCTGTTTAGTGAACCACCAGGGAAAGGCAGTGCTCTGTACTGTTTGTACTTGTGTAAAGTAAAATAAAAGTGAAGTTCAATCATTTAGTTTTTCTCCCTGGTACTCATCTTAGGACCTCCCAGATTTTCCCCAATACCTGGAAGATGTAAGCCTGTGCAAGGTTTGAGGACTGATGATAGTATCAAGGCCGGTCCTAGTCATCTACCATCCCTCTCTGTTCAAATAAATGCCGGACTGGCAGGAGAAAGCAGAACACCACTCCTGCCTCCGGCACCAGAAAAGGGCCCTGTTGTCACTTTCAGATATTTACATCATGATTTATGGTAAAGCACAGCTTGTAATTGTGGCTCTGCTTTAGTGCATAAGGAAATTGAAATACATGGGTGACCTGTACTACACACAGCTCCAACCTGTCCACCCTACATTTAGTACCAATCATCTGCACCCTCTTTACAGACAACATCTCACGTGTGTAGCCTGATACTTAAGGCTTTCAACGTTAGAAGAAAATAAAGCATTTAAAAGTCTCTTTTTGTATTGCATTGGATGTATTTAAAAAAGTTAGAGACAAAACTTGAGTATTGAGGGGGGGGGTCTGCTATTTACTTGGTCATCATATCTGTTTCTTAGAAGCTGAGTGTAATATGCGATGATAACTGGATCGAGTTAATGTTCCTGATCATTTGGTGGGTTATGTGTTTGTTGCAATTTGTTTTTCAAAAGTATGTACAGCACTGTCGATGTGGTTCTATCTTTATCCTTGCAGAAATGTTGCAACATTAAGACAGTGTGAGGGATGTGTGTGGACAGATTCAATGCTGCGTGTTGCTTGTTTTGTGGGACATGTTTGATATGTTAGGAAGAAGAGAACTCAGTCCTGCTCTGAGTCTGCTGATTTGTATCAGATGTGAGAAAATGTCATTAGAAGTTGCTGTTGGTATTCTGTGATGTGACAGAGGGAATATCCAGAAGGTTTTTCTTCTGAGGTGTTTGTGAATGAAAGGCTTAATGTCCAAATAAAGCTTTGTGTTCATCTGACTGATGACCCCTCAGATTGTTAACTGGCAGTAAAGGCTGCTCTGGAGAAGACTGAACAAGTGTGTTTGGGGATGTGTTTATGTAATGTGTTTAGGGGAGTTTGGCCCCAGTCCCCTTTAGTAAAAGGACAAACAAAAAAACTACCGTGTTTGTGTATTGATAGCTAGCTGCTTAATAACACTGATAAAACTAAATATTAAACGATGGTTCGAGTTTGATAACGAGGCTAGCTGTTTAAATTTAAGCTTGTATATCACTGAATTAGTTAGCCTGTGTGGTTATCCATTTTCTTGTTGTGATGGGTAGACCTTTCGGCCTAGTAATGCCACAATCTAGTTTCACCCTCTCATGGAAGCTCCACCCTGCCTCTCCAGTAGCGGGCACACACCTGGAGACAATTACCTCATTAAGAGTTGATGTTCAGGGAGCATTCAGGATCTCTCTTGATGCATTGTGTTGCAGTGTGATAAACAGTGATAGAATCAAGACAATTGTAGAGGCAGCCATAGAGATACTGGGGATCACGGAAGTTACAGCTGAACTGATTCATGAGATGTTGAACCTGACTAATTATGATGGATTATGATAATTATGATGTCTCAAGGTGATTAGTCTCATTATGGTATTTCATATCCTCCACTGGAATGCCAGAAGTTTAATTGCAAATGGACAAGAGTTCAAGAAGGTTGTAACTGATCTGGAAGTTAGACCTGATGTTATGTGTATACAAGAAACTTGGTTAAGACCACATTTGGATTTTGTCCTGCCAGGCTACAACTCGGTTAGAAGTGACCATACAGACACTAATGGAGAAGTAGTTGAAGAACTAATCGAGGAGAGATCACTTTCGTGCCTTAATGATGGAAGAGGTACCAGGGTTAATGTTACAAGAAATTCAGTTTCTTGTATAGATCTTACTTTAGTCTCAGTAAATATGAATTATTTATGTGAATGGAACGTAAAGAATCATAGCAACATAAGGAGTGATCACTTTCCAATATTGTGTTCCATGAACTTTTATATGTATGATCAGGAAGGTTATGTAATAGAGAGATGGTGTTTTCATAAAGCTAACTGGGAAAAAGTCTGAGAACTTTGTACTGAGTATTCTGAAAGAATATTGATGGAGGGTGATGTAAATAGCTGCGCAGTAGCAGTGACTTCCATGATTATTAATGCTGCAACAACCTGCATCCCTAAGAGCACAGTGAATGAGAAAAAGAAAATAGTTCCATGGTGGAACAATGAATGTAAAAATGCTATAAAAGACAGAAATCATGCATTCAGAATTTTAAGAAAGCATTTGAGCCAAGACAATCTGATTGACTATCAAAGAAAGAGGGCTATGGCATGGAAAATACACTGCTCAAAAAAAATAAAGGGAACACTAAAATAACGCATCCTAGATCTGAATGAATTAAATAATCTCATTAAATACTCCTTTCTTTACATAGTTGAATGTGCTGACAACAAAATCACACAAAATTATTATCAAATCTATCAACCCATGGAGGTCTGGATTTGGAGTCACAGTCAAAATCAAAGTGGAAAACCACACTACAGGCTGATCCAACTTTGATGTAATGTCCTTAAAACAAGTCAAAATGAGGCTCAGTAGTGTGTGTGGCCTCCATGTGCCTGTATGACCTCCCTACAACGCCTGGGCTTGGTCCTGATGAGGTGGCGGATGGTCTCCTGCGGGATCTCCTCCCAGACCTGGACTAAAGCCTAACCCAACTCCTGGACAGTCTGTGGTGCAACGTGGCGTTGGTGGATGGAGCGAGTCATGATGTCCCAGATGTGCTCAATTGGATTCAGGTATGGGGAAGGGATGGGCCAGTCCATAGCATCAATGCCTTTCTCCTGCAGGAACTGCTGACACACTCCAGCCACATGAGGTTTAGCATTGTCTTGCATTAGGAGGAACCCAGGGCCAACCGCATCCATATGACCTCCATATGGTCTCACAAGGGGTCTGAGGATCTCATCTCGGTACCTAATGGCAGTCAGGCTACCTCTGGCGAGCACATGGAGGGCTGTGCAGCCCCCCAAAGAAATGCCACCCCACACCATTACTGATCCACCGCCAAACCGGTCATGCTGGAGGATGTTGCAGGCAGCAGAACGTTCTCCACGGCGTCTCCAGAATCACGTCTGTCATGTCACGTCTGTCACATGTGCTCAGTGTGAACCTGCTTTCATCTGTGAAGAGCACAGGGCGCCAGTTGCAAATTTGCGTATCTTGGTATTCTCTGGAAAATGCCAAACATCCTGCACGGTGTTGGGTTGTAAGCACAACCCCCTCCTGTGGACGTCGGGCTCTCATACCACCCTCATGGAGTCTGTTTTGAGCAGAAACATGCACATTTGTGGCCTGCTGGAGGTCATTTTGCAGGGCTCTGGCAGTGCTCCTCCTGCTCCTCCTTGCACAAAGGCGGAGGTAGTGGTCCTGCTGCTGGGTTGTTGCCCTCCTACGGCCTCCTCCACGTCTCCTGATGTACTGGCCTGTCTCCTGGTAGCGCCTCCATGCTCTGGACACTACGCTGACAGACACAGCAAACCTTCTTGCCACAGCTCGCATTGATGTGCCATGCTGGATGAGCTGCACTACCTGAGCCACTTGTGTGGGTTGTAGACTCCGTCTCATGCTACCACTAGAGTGAAAGCACCGCCAGCATTCAAAAGTGACCTGGAACTGAGAAGTGGTCTGTGGTCACCACCTGCAGAACCACTCCTTTGTTGGGGGTGTCTTGCTAATTGCCTATAATTTCCACCTGTTGTCTCTTCCATTTGCACAACAGCATGTGAAATTGATTGTCAATCAGTGTTGCTTCCTAAGTGGACAGTTTGAATTCACATGAGTGTGAGTGACTTGGAGTTACATTGTGTTGTTTAAGTGTTCCCTTTATTTTTTTGAGCAGTGTAATTAAGTCATCCAAGAAGAATGCATGGAGGCAATTCTGCCCCTCCATTGGTAGAGAAGTTAAATTGGGTGACATTTGGGCAATGATCAAAAAGATGAGTGGGAAAAGGAAATCAGATGAAATTCCAGTGCTGATAGATGGAGTACACCTGGCAATTACAAATAAGGAGAAAGCTGAGCTACTAGGTAAGATGTTTGTAAGTGTACATAGTGGGAGTCATTTAGATGAAATACATAAACAACGGAAAAAGGATATTTTAAGAACAAATAGTGATGTAACTAAGAAAAAAGATAATGATGAATCGGCACTTGACATGGACTTTTCATTAAGAGAGTTAAAAATGGTCCTAGAGGGAAGTGGACATACAGCTCCAGGGGAAGATCAACTATGCTATGCTATGTTTAGACAATTAGCAAAAGAAGTCTTGGAAATTATGAGATGTGTATGCAGGAATCATGTTAAACAGGTTGAAACAAAATGTAAAAAGGTTCTGAATCTCATGAGGTCAGTTTCTGGTTACTAATGGGGAGCAGATAAACAATCACTGCTAGATATTTATAGGGCCTTAAT